ACGAGAAGAATCCTGTGGATAAAGTCTACGGATCCAGAGGCTAAAGTTCTTGTTTTCTCAAGCTGGCATGATGTGCTCGACGTATTGGAGCATGCCTTCACTGCTAATGACATTACGCATGTTCGGATGAAAGGAGGAAGGTAAGTTGCCATTATCGAATTCAGAGCAGATAAAATATACTGAAGTTCGAATTGCTTCTCCATTTTTCTTAATATGGCTGCTGTGTAAGTGCAGGAAATCACAAGTTGCCATTAGCGAATTTAAAGGCGAAAAGATAAGTGCAAGAGGAAATCACAAGATACGTGGGCAGAAAGAGCAAAGATCTTTCCAAGTGTTACTGCTCTTGATTCAACATGGAGCTAACGGCCTCAATCTTCTGGAAGCGAAGCATGTTATTCTTGTCGAGCCGCTTCTCAATCCAGCAGTAGAAGCACAGGCAATCAGCCGGGTCCACCGAATTGGACAGAAAAGCAAAACCATAGCTCATCGTTTCATAGTACGTGCATCTCCCTTTCCGATACTTCTGTGTTTCATAGAATAACATGTTTTCATGATTCACGAACACAATCATCTCTGCATTTTCGATATTTAATCACGCTTATCCATCTTGTGGGGTTAGGTTAAAGACACGGTCGAAGAGAGTATATATAAACTCAACAAAAGCCGGAACAGCACTGCGTTCATCGGGAACACGAAGAATCAAGATCAGCCTATCTTCACATTAAAAGACATTGAATCCTTATTCGCAACAGTGCCACCCCCAGCACCAGAAACTCAGGAAAAGGCAACTGAAGTTCCCGACGAGAACCCAACGGAAAGTTTACGGCATTTGCCACCTTCTGTGGCTGCTGCCATAGCAGCTGAGAAGAGACATAAGGAGCAGCATGCATCTTCTTTGCGACCATAACTTAGCAGCTCAAGTTAGCAGCAATTTCGTAGAAACACATGGCAACTCAAGATAAAATATATTTTGTTAGGCTATTAACCATGTTTTTTTTTTTTTTTTTTTAATTAGGATTTTAGTTTCGAAACTATTATTTTTCTTGTATATATTGAATCCTTCATTATTTATTGCTATTTTTTTGGATGTCTGTGATGTTAACGGCACACATGCTAGTCAATAAATAATAAAATCTCTCTCTCTGTAGTATTCTTTTGGTCTAAGAGTTGATTTGCGGCTGGTACTAGTTGCATGGAAATATCAGAAAAATTAAAGAAAAATATGGAAATTGAAGGTGAAGTCTAATAAACTTCATTAGATATTGGAAAAATTCTTAAATTTCTGCTAAAATTGATAGATTTGTTGATATTTTTGATATACCGGTTAAATATCGACAAATTGTCATTTGATATTCTTCAAAGTTGTATTTTAAATGTCCACGTGTTTTAGCAAATTTTCATTATTTTCATCGAAGACAACCAATATTGATCTCAATATATCCATCAATATTTTTACAAACTTGCACATTGATGTTTCTACCAGTACCTATACTTTAAACACTGACTAGGTTTATTGCCACCGAAGTCTTAGTTCAGCCCTCATATAACGAGCTCAAAACTAAATTATTATTGTTCCGTACGATTTAGTCCAAACTTTTAATGAGCTCAAAACTAAATTATTGTCAATCCATACAACTTAGTCCAAACTTTTATCCCGAAAAAAATAAATTGATTTGTCAAGACGGAAGAAGTCGTATTGGGTAGGTTTTATCAGCATCTCCATATTCTTCATGGGAACTGTGACAGGGTATGGAAGATATCGGAAGATACAAAACGGTGTGTTTGACCCGTCTCTTTGTATGGTTTGCAGTAATTTGGCTCCTACCTATTCACACCACAAGGCTAATTTCCAAACAAAACGTAAAGACAACAGGCTTCTGTTCAAATTTGAAGTGTCAAAGCAAAGAGTTCAAAACTTGGAAGCTGGACAAAGAAATAGCAGGAAAAAGAGGGGCGATATTTGAAGTGTCAAAGCAAAGAGTTCAAAACTTGGAAGTTGGACAAAGAAATAGCAGGAAAAAGAGGGGCGATATTTTATCTGATTAGGGTTTCGTTGATGAGTCCCTTTCTTTTATGGTAGGAGAGACTTAAAAGCATCAGTTTCTTTCTTTTTGAGTATTGAGTTTCTTTCGTTAGCTAAAATATCAACACAAGAATCATTTTACTTTCGATCTTTATTCAGTTAAATCCATGTAGAATTCATAATTGTTTGAAAACCGTAATCAAATAGCTAAAATAAGAGATTATATTAAATTAGGTTGCTCATTGTGTGGCCTAACCGAACTTTCCTTTCTCGTTTAGTGTAAAAATATTGATTTACTAAAAAAATAAGGGATCATACCAATTAGGGGGCTAGTTGATCCAAGTTTGTTTATTTATCTTCAGTTTCTTATTCAAGTGGTTTTTGAGATTGGGATAACTCCTCATTTTGTTCCATGAGATTTGAAATCATTATAAGTGGTTTTTGACTTTATCCAACAGCAATCATTTTGGTCTTCCGTGAAAAATTCTGTTAAATAATAACTAAAATGACAAAAATACGCTCAATTTAATAAATAATTATTCAAATAATTTGATAAAAATTGAGGGTGTTTTTGTCATCTTATTTTTACTTAATGGAGATTTTTACAAAATGATCAAAATAATTGATGGTAGCAAACTCAGAACCATCTCTATCAATTCTAAATCTTAAGAACCAAAATGAAGAATTATGTAAATCTGAATCATCATTTTGAATAAATTACACAATAAATATTATAACTCATTATCATGAGAATTTGAAAATTTTAATTATTAGTCATTGAGTCGTCGTCGTTACTTGTATAATTTGATTTCTATAACGATTCTCGATAAAACATTAAACAGTCGTTCCCTTGAATTGAATGAGGATTCTCTTCAAATCCTCTTATTCTAGTAATTCTCTAATCATGTTCGTTCATCGTATATTGTGCTATTATAAATTATTGTAAATGTTTTTGTTTAAAATTGAATATTAACAGTACAACAACAATAAAGCATTTTCCCACTATATGGGGAAAATTGAATATTAACAGTATCTAACAAAAATTAATAACACAATATACGATAAATGAATATGATTTAATGATCTTCAAAATCCACACAAAGAGGATCCAAAGAAGATCATCCTTCCTTGAATTAGTCATAAACAACACACCCGCAAGGATTCGGAGTGCTGACGTGGCCCATGAAACTTTGACAAGTATGCCTCTTTGTATCAACAACGAAGAAAAACATCCCACACCCTCTGCAAACATCATCTCGGTTCTCGAAACCTTTATCTAACACGTGCCTCCTCGCCATGTCACGTGTCCAAGACAGGTGGAGCAACAAGAACACCGCCACCGACCCTCTCACACCCTCCATCCCCTATATATACATATATATATATATATCTATCCCAACCTAACGAACCCCATTGACTTAAAAATTAGGCTTCGACAATGGAGATCCCTCTCTGTCGCACAAAAACGCTCAACTTTCGCCCAACCATCCTCCCCACACGCACAGCCAGGGCCCCTACAACTCCCAACAGTTTAGGTTTGAGGCCTACGACCTGGCAGAATCGTGGGGCGATCTTCAGGCAGCAAAGCTTGGACCGCAAGAAACCGGCGGTGGCGGTGAGGTGCGGGGACGTGGAATGCTCATCCGAGGTGGAAAGCGAATTGGAGGCGGAGCTGCGGTCGGAAGAAGAAGAGGAGTGGATGAGGGAAGGGAGGTGGAGTGAGAAGTGCGGAGACAGAGGAGTGGTGGAGCTTTTGGAATGTTTGGAGCGTGAAGCGATCATGGGGGAAGATGAAGGCAAAGAACCTAACGACTACCATAGAAGGGCTCAAATATTTTACAAGAGCTCTAGGGTTTTTCAGGCTCTCAAGAAACGTTCCCAATCTTGATTTTCCTTTTTTAATTTGGTTTTAACTTTTAAATGTTGTGTTTAATTTGTAATCAATAATCCAACCGTCTAATGTTTGAGGCTTACCCCTCTCCTCCCATCTTGTTGTGTGTTTTAATTTCAAGAAGTATTGTTCATACAAAGTTGTAAAAGCAAGGAAGGGTTAGAAGAGCGAAAAGCACTTCCAGAACAAATGCATTGTAAAACTATTCCGAAATAACCCAGTCTTATTCGGTATTTATCCACTAAAAGTTCATTAAAGTTCGGCAGAATTATGGATATCTTGATACAAAATTGAGGGTGGCTAGAAAGCTCCCAATTGTTTTTGTGTTTTCTAGATTATAAAAGTACTTCTTGTTTGCCACTTAGTACAACAGTTTAGGAATATTCTTTTTCAGTTAATTGTGAGGCTTACCGTTTCTTATTCCTCTTGTGTAAATAATATTGGTTGTTAAAAATAAAAAAAATTGAAAAAAAAAAAAAAAACACTTATGGTTCAGATTGTCCCAAGTTATGTAGTGCCAAGTTCTTGAGGAAGAATAACGCACTTTTGGTGCTAGGTATACTAATTTATGTCCTACCAACTTCCGCAGGATGAATCGACTCAGATTCCTAATAAAAATCTGTAAAGCATTTAATGTTTAAGCCCGAATTTTAATAACAAAATTAGCTGCGGTCCTAACAATGTTTTACAAGAAGTACTTCTCGTAAAAGCAAGCCCAAGGCGTACTCAGAAACACTTGCTTCAACATCGTCAAAAGCACGTGATTCCACTGTCAAAAGCAAACCAACACAAGCTTACTTGCTTCAACATTGTCAAAAGCACTTGCTTCCACTGTCAAAAGCAAACCAACAACTAAAGCTTGCGTGCAGAATAAAAATGATTTTCGCACTCCTTTTTTCTTCATTTTTCAGTTTTCTAATTTTTAAATTGACTAATCTAAAAAGAATCACGGGACAGAAAAAAAAAAAAAGTGCAGAAAGAGAAAATGAGAGTTGAACTCTGACGATTGAAACTAACCTCCTCCGGTAACTCACAACAAAAACAAGACAAAACAACCTGAAACACCATCCCAAGCCTGGAATAACATTCACACTAACACAGCGATATGAAATTATTAATCATCGGTGAAACGAAATAAAAGAGTCGATTCAATAAAAAGCAAACAAATTAAGCCCTACCAACCCTAGAAGAAGAAAACATGATCAACGAAAGAATTATATATGCTACAATATTCTGAACCGGATCCATCCGTCCGACTAGTTCCCATTCGTCCAACTGCCCTAATCGCACAACCACGGTACAAACTGCTCGTTTTATGACTCTTATGACGTCGAAACGGCAATAAAATGTCCATGGCTCCTACAAGAATCCCTAACAGAACTTCCAACGATTATTGCAGTTTACACATGTTACATACGTTGTCATAGGTTCATCCGCACTCCGGGTCTGCATTTGGTAGTAAGTGGTCTTGCGCTGTCCGCATCGACCGCATTTGAATTGATCGGTTGTGGCTTTTGGTGCACCTCCACGCTCGCACTCAAACAATGCTTTTTGTTCAAGCTTTTGGTTCTCCTCTTGCCTCTGATCACTTGCCATTTCCGCTGTTGACAGGTCCACGAGCCTCTCTGCCTTGATATGTCCAAGCAGAACTTTTCTGCGGAAATCTGGATTCTTTTGGTCCTTCAGGTTGAAGATCAAAGATCGATACTTGGCCTTCTGGGAACCGGTGGAACCACCCCAGTTCTCAAACAGCACAGATTCCACGGTGACAGCAACTCGAATAGGATCAGCTGCATTCACCTCATCCACAAACCTTTCATCACCCTCCTCAGAAACCTTGGACAAAGCCTCATGCAGCAGTACCCTCACTTTGTCCCGAGCTGTATCATTACACTTAATCATAGAGGTTAACTTTGGGGGATCAGAAGAGTTCAGTGCTGGTTTCTTCACGTCCTTCACTACCTTTTCAACCTTCACACTCTCCACTGAAGCAGCTTTCTCAGTCTTGACAGGATTAACATTTTGAACCTTTCTTTCTGTTTTGATAGTTCCGGAACTATAAGCTTTCTCAGAGCTTGGTTTGGCATCACGATCAACCTTCTTAACCTCAACAGGTTCAGCCTTGGAAACCTTCTCAACGTTCACAGCAGATGTCTTCTGAACCTTCTCAGGCCTGGGGCTGTCGGCACGTGGAGAATCACGTTTTAGAGAGTCTATTCTTTCCAAGTTTCCATTTTTTACATTTTTCCCTACCTCGCTCATAACAATCTCTTTCCATTTCTCCAACAGACCTGAAGCAACCGACTGTATTTTCTTTCTAGGATGTTTTGTGAGATGTCGAAGACGCTTTCCAACCTGAAATATTACACATCAAAGGTCAGAAGAACAAGCTTCAAATCCAATTTCGTGCCTTTCCAACCATGCACCATAGCAAAAGATATAGACAATGCAGCATTTTCGGGTCCTAAACGGACAAGTGCCTGGGGCGGGACATCTAGATACAGAACTTCAATTTAATCCTAAATGCAGCTATAATCTACGTCTCTTAGAACTGAAACTGCATACCATCGTTTCGGAAACAGTTGAATCCAAATAAGATAAAATACCAATTTGAACTTATCTTTCAGATCAAAAATTGATTCATGTTATCTAGACGTGAGTAATTGAATTAACAGTGGAGAATAAAATCAAAACAATATTTTGACCCAAAAAATGAAACCTAAATTCAAATTAAATTGAAATCTAAAGTCAAAATTAAATTGGGGGAAAAAAGAAAAAGGAACATACTTGGGTTGAGACGAGGATTTGATGAGTGACGGGAAAATTATTGAGCTGCTCGAAGGCCTCAAGGCATTCGCTTTCCTCGGCTCCTCCGTCGCAAGATGTGGCGGCGTCAGCCGATTTCTTCACGGCGTCGAACAACTCCAGAAGATCCTTCTCCATCGCCCCCAATTCGCAATTTTTCCTCTAAATTGAATTCCAAAATCCACCCTTTGATAAGTGAATCGAAGGGGAAAAAACCCACAAAACCTAGAAATCGAATCGACGGGGAGGAGTGAGAAACTTAGATAGAGAGAGAGAGAGGTCGTTGGGACTGTCGAAAGTCCTCTCCTTTATTTCGCTTCCGATAAAATTTCCTCTTCTGTTTCGAGAGGCGACGTAAACGTTTAGACTAAATCCTATTGTGATCAGGAGATCAACGGCCCATGTTGTGGCACGTGCGCTTTAGGGTTCGGTTTCCTGTTTGTTTCCATTGCTCTTACTTTTGTTATGGAGTTTGGCGCGTCTGCTTACGCGCCTTCTCGAGTGTACCACCAACTACGAAAACCTAAAATTAGAAAAAGAACAGGAATCCACAGATTGAGTTCGTTACTTTCGCACGCTTTTGCCTTTCCCTTTTTATTTTGAAATTTTTTTTTTTGTCAGTACAATAAATTTTATTAAATTAAATTTTAAATTAGCTCTTAACGGAATTCAGATTATCACCGTCATACAAGGATTCAACACATTTCCATAACTGTGGTAAAATGCCACTTGCATGACGATATTAACTTTAGTAGAGAATGAATTATCCCTTATCCTCACAATGAACCGGTAATTCAAATTCATTTTTTACAATAATCAAATACTTTTAAATTAAATAAAAAAATTGGTCTATCCAAACAAGGTCAGGTACCCAAATACAAAAATATTGCACGAGAGTCCCTTTAACTTTCCTGCTGCACTTCTCTTTTTATTTATGTCTCTTGATTTTTATTTATTCAATCCAAAGGATAGACAAAAGAGAAGAGGTGCACGACAAAAAAATAAAAAAGAAGTGTGAGAATCACTTCTTATTGCATGAGTGTCGTTCTATATACAAATTAGATTTTAGAAACTCCCAAATTTCGACCAGAAATGCTATTAAGAAGTGATTTCTCTTCAACTTCAAATCACTACCGGACACGAAAATAAGCAATTTTCCTTAAAATGCAAATCATTTTTAACTCGATTAAAATCAGAAAAAGAAAAGTTTTTTAACACACGTCAGACAGTAATTTGTCGGTAGAAGGAATGGCTACAGAACGGCTTGTTCATTTACAAAACGTGTGAATTTCATATACTTATTTATTTTCAACAGGGTTAGGAGATCACATTCACATGCCAAACAAAACACAGCTAAAAAAAAGTAAATAGCAAGAATGCACAAACAAAGACGCTATAATTAGTAAAATAATGCAAATAAAGTCCTTCGCATTGTAATTAACGATGATCAACACGTACTTAACGACGATCAACATGTAATTAACGACGATCAAGGGTACAAAAGTACAAGATTATTTGCATAAACTCTGCAACTGTAGTCTCATCAAAACATGATGTCCCATGGTTATATCAGTCCACAAAACAGAAACCCAAAAGTTTTACCAGAATGTTCAATTCCCTTCCTCACTTAGCTTCCGGCTCCGGCTTCTCAATAAACGTCTTCCTAATCCAATCAAACGGCTGCAAATAGAATCACAAACTATTAGACTTAATTGTTAGATTACTAACTTACAAAGGCAAAGTAACAACGATGTAAACATAGGTTCTGGGAAAGTGCAGACACACAACCAGAGCTCGGAGAAGTTCACGAAACTACCGACGGGTCGAAATTAAAGAAAATTAACAATGACAACAAGATAAATTGCATCTTGTGCACCAAATTGTAGATGGATTTCATCCAAGCATAACTCTCGTAAGCATCCACCAACACAAGTCCAACGAAATGCTGCTACGAGAGCTGATGATTTTAGTTCTTTACTTTCACACGATTATAATCATCCGCCAATGATTTCAAGTCCTTCACTTTTCATCCAAAACCTTCTTCTTTTTTTAATTCTCACACATAGCAAATGAAAACAAATCTCCAGCTGTGGTACTCGGTAATCTTTTCAGATGAAAACAGTTTTCGCGTGATTTCGAAATTATAAACCGATCAAAGTTTCAGCAACAAGCAGACTACTCAATCAGAAAACACATTCATCGGATTTTTTTTTTTTTTTTTTATCAGGCACATACATCAGAATGTGAAGCCATGGAAATCAGCTGTAGTTATCAGCAATTAAAAGCAACAACACAGAAATACAGTAAATATACAGTCCAATCGTTCGTTTTCATGCAAACGGAGTCATCATCCAAAAGGCGCTAGTCGGCCGGCTAGGCAGTTTTTTTTCAATTTTAATTAAATTTCTTATATACATAAATTGTACAATTGAATATCATTATAAAGTATTAGAACATTTTTTTTTTGTCACACTATAGATTTTGTTAGATTAGCTACCAACATAATTTGAACTCATGCAGCCATACAATGGCTTAACACTTCAACCACTGTAGTAAAATACCACTTACGTGTTGAAAACATTGATTCAAGTATCGAACAACACACTTCATTGAAAAAATAAAATGCATATAAAGGTTATTTATTTTTTGTTTAAACGAGACTTGCGATCTAGGATTTAGGTGGGTTAGGCAGACATCGATTTAGGTTTTTTCTTAATTTTTAAATCATTAGGAATTAATCCGACAATGACTAGCCGTCTAGTGCCTAAACAGAGCCAACATGACGCTAACCGGAAATTTTTAGATCAATGATCCGCAATCTTAATGCTACAATTCTTTAAAATAAAACATGGATTTCTGATAATCTTTGATCAAATTTGCACACGTGAAATGATTGATTTGATTTAAAAAAGAAGACAAAGGGCGCGATCAAACAGAGTGCATGGAAAATGGAAGTGACAGGGATGGGGATTTACAGACCTGCACGAGCCAAAGCGCACCGGTAAAGGCGGCAACGCCCCACCCGACGGCGGATTGGAGATCGGTAGTATGGGGACGAAGCCTTGGCTTCACGAACTTGAACATACTCAATTCACCTGCCATTTTCTCCGACTTTCTGTATTCTCAGCCCTAACGCTCTCAAAGTCACACAAATTAAATGAGCGAAAGCTTTGTTTCTCATGTCACTGCCAGAATGTTCCCTGCATAATAAAGCTAGATCCTTCCGGTGCGGTCGGTCACTGGGATACTGTATCACTTGATCATTAATCTTCTACCGTTAGATTGTTCTGATGGTTTGTGGGACCCAGAAATAATCTCACTTAATCAATGTGTCTATATTTTTTTTTTTTTTCTTTTTCATTTTTATCAGATTATTTTTAAGAATCCAAATCCCTTCCAGATCTAATGATTATGAACCTAAGAATCAAATGATCCGATAATTGAAATTTGATTTAACGGCTACAAACATGAAAGTCCTCTAAAAGTTATAATAATTATGATCGTTTGATTAAATTTCAATAATTCAAATCATTTAATCCTTAAGCAAAGGATTAGGGTTCATTTTTTAATCATTTTTGCTTTTTCCAATTTTTAAGGAATTGAATTGACCGTGTAAAATTCTGTTTCGAATGCGACTCTCATGGGCCAAAACTACGGAGAGAGACATGGAGTTGGGCCTATAAAACAAACACCTCAAATTGATCACATGACACCGTGAAAACATGAGCATAACCGCGTCATAGGAGTTCAGCTAAGTTCACTAGAGCAGTGTATCTCGTATGCACTCGTGTCTCTCTCATCTGCACTTAAGTTCGTGTCTCATAAGTGAAAGGTCGCAAGTTTGCCTCTCATTACAAGCTGCACCCCCTTTCCGAGAATTTATGCTCGAAACCGCATTCGAAAGGAATAATCAAGAAAACCAGCTACATGTGGAGTTTGCAACATTTCAGATGCTAGATTCTTAACAGAAAAACATCTCACGCCTGATTTATCATTCAACATGTCCATGTCGATTTTCGAAACATTCTTTTCTCCTTCTCTAAGTCTCTATTTAAACTGAATTTGAAAGTTGAGTAGCGTTCTGCTTGATACCATTCGGTTTGCGTCCCTTGTCCGGACCACCAATGATCCCCCATGTCTCAAACTGCCTTTGTCGAGCTCGTGCCCTCTCCTTCTCTTCATCAGATTTTGACAAGAAACAGTACGGACAAGTGACTCCGTATTCCCACTGAGGAGACTCCATATCTGCATCACTGACCGGTTGCTTACACCCATAGCATAACTTGTGAGTTCCCTGTGCTAAGCCATGCTCAACTGAGACCCTCTTGTCAAAGACGAAGCACTCTCCCTCCCACAGGCTCTCTGTCGGCGGAACTTCCTCAAGATACTTCAGAATTCCACCTTCTAGATGATAGACCTGAGAAACACAGATGTTCCAAATCAAACTATCAGCCAAGTTCGTTTTAACCTTCCCAACCTAATCCATTCTACAGATAAGATTTGTGGCATAAAATAAATACAAATTGAAAGATATTCACCTCTTCGAAGCCCTTGCTGAGGAGAAAACTTGAAGCTTTCTCACATCTAATGCCCCCAGTACAGTACATGGCAACTTTCAGAGATGTTTTTGGTTTTGATGTATCCAGCTGATTGTTGGGGCTTCCATTTGGACTCTTGACTTGCACCTCCGGATCACCATTCTCAGGTTCGGAAGGTTGAAATTGATCGTCTACCCAAGATGGGAACTCCCGGAATGCTTTAGTACTTGGATCAACTGCTCCTTTGAACTTCCCTATTCTAGTTTCATAATTATTCCGTACATCAATAACAACCTGGATATATGCATGTGTTAGGACTGCAATGAAATGCCGGCATTCATCAAAACTTCATAAAAACACAGTAAATTCTATATACACAGTATAAAGCTGTTAAAAACATGATTTTTCCAGATTAAAAGCGAGTCATGAAGGTCAACTTTTCTAATGCACTAGGTAGCGTTGGAAATTATACTGCTTAGTTTGCATTACACTACTCATAAATCAAATAACTGAACTCAAAAACAAAAGGACGTAACACATTCTGCATATTGATTACAGCTCAGTGACACAAGTATAAAGAAACCAATGTAAGAAAGAAAGTACTCACCGTATCTGGATCGCTAATTAATGTATTCCAATCCCGTGGACTCACATACTTTCCGACCTTTTCAATTGGCGATACATCAGGCATTCCAAGACTAACAATCTGATTAAACATGTGCAATGAGAAAATCAGAACCAACCACCTCATAACTGATAACAACAAAATATACACCCAAGTTCGCGATCAAGTTATGTTATAACCCGTACCTCCTTCTTCAACTTGACCCTCACATGATCCCATCTGAAAGGCGCGTCTTCCCCTGCCGCCAGAGGAGAACTACTAGTGTGTCCATGATGGATGGCTTCATCCTCAGGACTCACAGGTGACTCCAATCTTCTTAGTCCCTGAGGCGGTTATCACTCTGGATGAACTCAAGAACTTTCTCCACCGATTCTCTTGTCCCACAAATGCTCCCGTTTATCCCTTCCGGTGCAAGTATGATACCGCCTGAAACACGCTGGACATGATCAGCTTAGTAAGGTACGAACTACACAGTACATAAGCTCAGGGAGAGTAAAACAAACTCTAATCTGTAAAAGTGAAGGCTTTTGCGAATTACTATGCACAAATTAATAATTTAAACAATAAACTGATAGAATAAAAAACGAACTTTATCGAACTATCATATGCTAATTAGCCAACAAAATTAAGATCGACATTTTCTAATCCAACAAAGCTTTAATCCCCAGTAGTCCAACGATGCATTAAGATTTGAAATTTACTTCCTTTACAGAAATTACCACAATTTAATTTAAATTTCCTGCAAATTAACCATTAACAAACTAAAAATTAAAGAAATACAGAAATGCTGATGGAATGCGGGTACCAGTTCTTCGCAGAGCTGCTTCAATGGTTGCCGCAGACGAGCATGGTCAGGAAAATCAGCGAACTTGTAGAAGGAGACCACCACGAGAATCTGCGAATCCGAGTTATCCGACTCGGGTGACCTGGGAATCGGGACCGGACTGGTGGGCCCGGAGAAGCACCTGGAAAGCGTCATGCTTAGAGGGACGCCGCGAGAATCGGAGACCGGAATCCTACTGGGGTTGAAGAACGGCTGAGGAGGTCGATTGGAGGGCGGCGAAATTGAAGAAGCGTGGTGGAATCTAGGGTTAGGGCTCACGGAGTGCAGTGGAGGTGACGATAGCATCCTCAGCGACAGTGATGGAGGTGACCTCCACCTTGGCATAAAGTGGGCTGGTGGAGGTAGGGTTCACGTACGGCGCTGCGCTCGTTGGGTTTCTGCATTGCTCTCGATGTGTGAATTTACAATCGTGTCCGCTGTATGGAGGGGCCACGTGGTGGGTGTATAGTGGGTTAGATGCGTGGCTCTATCCTGCGAATTCTTCAAAAAAAAAATTGTCTTCCACTATTTCGAATAAGTGTTTAGTGCTATTGCCAGTTGTTCTGATTGGTAGTTAGTCGAGATTGGCATCGTCTGGATCTTCTTTGAGCTAAGAATCTATACTATCCAATCAATGCGTCGTATATTCTCTCAATCAATGTTTTAAAAATTGACTTCGACGGTAAATGCCCCTAGTGATTTAGGGCAAATTGTTTTGAAAAATCAATCTGGAGCTAGACGGTCCTAAGCGACGGACTAGGCGGCACCTAGGCGGTCATAGGTGGATTTGGTTTTTTATTCTTTTTAAAATTGTGTACTTTTTTATGTTTTAGTTTCATGATGGTATACTTATGGAAATGGTGTACCTAATTTGTAAATGATGAATTGACTACAAGTTTATCCAATTGTGAAATGAATTGGAGAACTTTTGAGGGAATACATACATACAAAAAAAAAAAAAAAAAAAAAAAAAAAAAAAGCTAGATACAACAACATTAAATAGTTTAGTCTATGTCCAATCCAATGCAAGGATCATAAACAAGAATAATTTAGTCTATCATCCAAGAATACTTCTCATTATGATTATATGCTTACTGTTTTTAAATATTGAACTTGTTGGATGGATGTACTTTGTGAATTTTTCTACTTCTATTTTTGCATTTTGTCATTGTTTATTATCCATACAAGTATAGTTTTTTTGTTTAAGTGTAAATAGGCACTTATTTACAAGATATATAATAAATTTACATAAATCCGACTAGGCGCTAAACCCTTACCTGCTACCCAACTAACACCTAATATTTTGTAGGACCTTGGTCTCAATTAGTAGGCTGTTTATCCCAAGCCAACCTTTTTTTATAATATTTTAGCTCTCATGACTTCTACAAATACATTGTACTTTGTCACACATAAATATATATAACAAGACACAAGTACAAATAACGGTTTACTGCAATGATAAAAATAGTTATATTTATAGTTGGTCCAAATTCGATCTTCATTCATTATTTTCCCTTCTAATAACTAACTATTTAACCCTAATGCCACCACTCTACTGAAAAACTCATTTCAATAAAAATCGGAATGTCCCATTCCAAAAGATGGATTAAATTATTATGGTTTTTTTTAGCCAAAATGGTATTAGAGATTGACATAACACCTCATTTTGATCCCTAAGATTAAGATTTGAAATCAAAGAAATGGTCTCTTAGTTTGTCTACCATCAATCATTTTGGTCATTTCATGAAAAATCTTTGTCAAATAAGGATCAAAATGAAAAAAATACTCTCATTTTAATGAACAATTGGCCAAATTGATTTGACAAAGTTTGAGGCAATTTTTTTTTTATCTTTATTTAACAGAGATTTTTCACAGAATGATCAAAATGATTGACGGTGGATAAATTCAGGGACCAATTCTATCTTTTTTTTTTTTTAAACATTTTTTTTCTACCCTACCCCGTCTCGAACCTAGGACCTTAAACTACCCCATCCCTTTACCCACAATAATCATAGACCAGTTCTATCAATTTTAAATTTCATATATCAAAGTAAAAAGTTATACTAATATCAAATGCCTTAAATTATTAATTGATGTGTTGGGAAAGATTTGAATTCTCACAAGTATAAAATCAAGTTCGTTGGTCAATAAAGCAAATGTCTTCTTATTTTTTAAGATTGTCGTACAATGATCAATGGACCAGCAAACCAAGTGGCCTCTAGAATCTAGATGAAAGGGTGGAAGTTGGTTTGTCAATAAAGTAATTGTTTTTGTATTTTTTAAGATTGTCGTACAATGATCAATGGACCAACAAGGTAAGTGGCCTCTAGAATATAGATAAAAGGGTGGTGGAGTTATGTTATATTATAATACATAGTTTTCCAAAAGGAAGGGTTACATTGAGAAGCGGTGAGCCTAAGGAGTATGGTGGCAATAATTTGTATTGGGAAACTTTGGCTACCATGTTAGCAACTAGGGTTCCATTGCAACTATGTATATTTTTGTAACATTTTAATCTGCCACCTACACTTTGATATTAACTTCAAAAAGTCCAAACACGTTGCCCAATTAAAATATCCCACTTTTAGAAATTAGAAAGCTCTCTTTTTTGCGAGTTTCACGTTGTGAAAGTGAGACTACATAAATTCTATTGAGTCGAATTCTCTCCCTTCCGAATTTCCTTCCGTTCTTTCCATTTCTCTCTCACTTTCTTCTTTGTCCTTATTTCCTTATAAAAAAATTAACAAATCATGTTAACGTGGTTTAATCGTAACCATTCAAGCAGGAATGAGTTGAAGAGGAGGGAATTTGGAGGCAAGAGAATCTTATTTTATAACAAGTTGTTGTATGTATATGCTTTTGGTTTTGAATGATTTTTTTGCTTTTTAATTAGTATTTTGATTTTGTAGGAGAAAGACTTATTTTAATCGTTTTAGTATGGTGCCGCATAATTGATTTGCAATGCCATATTAGAGCATGTTCATTCATGTATAAGTTTAAGGTCGTGAATTACATGACAAAAGTACATTATTGTTGCGAAAACATGTGGACATTTTTTGTCCACAAGGCATTTGTATCATGGACCTAACTTCTTTGCCCTCCCAGTTCTCATACACTCTCATCTCCTACTATTTGTGCGGTCACGGTTAAGCCACATCAACATTTCATATCACTATTGCTTTTTGCTTTATTATCTCTATAAAACAAATCAATATAAAATGTTGACGTAACTTAACCGTGACCGCACAAAATAGAAAGGAATGAAAATGCATGGAAACTGGATGGACGGGCAGAGAAGCTGGGTCCTTGTGTCATTACCACAAAAAGCTACAGTTTAGGGTTCAGGTGTATAAATGTCATGCAAGTTGTCATAATTTAAAGTATGCTTTAGTTAGGTCATAAATGTTTTAATTGGGTAATAAATATTTCAATTAGATTTAATTTAATTGCGACACTTACTCTCAACATCAAAGTGCGTCGCCGAGAATAGACATGGGATGGGCCAATTAGCAAAGGTCGTTGGTGGATGGCTACTTACCAGAGGAAGGAGTCGATGGCGAAAGCTGGGATTTTGGGTGAGTTTCGTGCAAGAGAAAAAGGGGGCTGGAGCAGCTAGGGTTGCGAGATGAGTAAACTAGTTTTGTGATGCTAGGAGTTACTGAGAGACCATTTCTTCCTCTTCAAAATCAAAAGCTCCTAAACAATTTCCAATTTGATAAGCAAGACAGGATGTGTGATTGAAGATAATTTTCAAATTTTTCTCTAAATTTTAATTAGGAACTCATTCAGATAGTCCATTAAAATGAACTTTGCGTTGATGTTCTATATAAATTATTTTTTAATGTAAGCAGGATAAACTGTTTTTTAAGATGAGGTTTTGAACCCACGCTATCTTACAAATGGTCATTTACCACAGTAGTGGAAATATGTTAAGCCCTTGCATAACGACGTGGATTCAAAACCTCATCTGTTGCTAATCTAACAAAATTCAGCGGTTGACAAAAAAAAAAAAAAAACCTAGTCATCAATAATTCTTTATAAAATATCTCCTAACTACCATTTTAAGTCCAATCTTTATTTTTCTCCAAAACAGAACACATTCTCCCAAAAACATATAAAGCATGAACTTTAACTTTAAGAATTATTCAAAAGCTTCCAACGTCTAAGATTAAAGTTGATTAGTGAAAAAAAAAAATATAAAGATAACTTAATATAATCAAAGTGTAGCTAGGTAGAATCTGACAAGCAGATATGCATTGAATGATTACTCGGACTTTACTACACCAAATAATATTTAAAGATAATCGCTAAGAAGAATTTTCATGAACTTTTTAAAATCTTAAAAGTGAAAGTATCTACGTGCTCTTTACTTTTTCATAATTTAACGATAATTCTTAAATCAACATTATAAAATATTATATAAAAAACATAAAATCACAAACAATTTATAAACAATTTCCCTTTAAAAGAATCTTCTTTGTAATCTCATATTCAAGAGAAAGCACGTAATTTGCACAACCTACCAGGTGGGAAAAATAAGTTTGGCATCAATGATATAAGCTTTGCATCACTCGATGACATCACCTCAGCCTTTGTCAGCATTTTTGGAACTTTCTCTCTTTAAATTATGGGAAAGGGGGGCTTCACCTCCTTCCTTACATCTTCGAGTGAATTGCTTCCCACCTTCCTCCTCTCACATCATAAAACCATATCCCCTTCTCTCACCTCATCCAAACAAACCCCAATTCAACCAAAAATATTCCATACAAAACAGAGCAAAAAAAAAGATCAGCCTAAAAGCCATCATCTTTCATGATTCACTTCCCACTCTCCAAAAGTTTGTTTGAATTTGTGTATGTAAGGAACGCTTCTGATAAGAACCGTCAAAGATAATCAGAAACGCTTTCAGTCATTTCAGAAGCAATTCAAACAGTAGTCTATCTCATACCATAAAAGCCATGTACCCTTGATCTCTTGCTCCATCTAAGCAAAACCCATTTCAGATTTTCCCTCAAAAACACAGAGAAAGAGAGAGAGAGAGAGAGAGAGAGAGAGGAGTTAAAGCTAGAAACAGAGGAAAAGCAGAGCATCCTAGAACCAATGGGAACCAACCACAAGAGACTGATCGAAGAGCTACATGAAGGCCGGAAGACGGCGGCGGAGCTTCAGATTCTGCTCCAGAATCAGTACGGAGACCGTGTCTTGGCGGAGGAGCTTTTGATGAAGATCATGATGGTATTCGCAGAGAGTCTTTCTGCTCTGACTGCTTCTGATGGCCATAACGATCACCAGTCTGCTGCTTCCGGTGAGGTTTATCAGGTCAAGCCGGAACCTTCCCAAGTGGAGCACTCGCATTGCTGTGACCGGAGCTCTGAAGATTCCGGTGAGAGTCGAAAGACTCAGGCTTTCAAGGATCGGAGAGGTTGCTACAAGAGGAGGTAATGAAGTGAAATATCTCAACCATAGATTCATATCTAAATAATTGTATGCCAATTTTCTTTTATTTGTTTAATTTCCTAGCCAGTATGATACACAGATCAGCGTTGTAATGTCAGTTACTAAAGGATTTGCAAATACCTTAGTTGTTTTTTTTTTTTTTTTTGGGGAAACTTGCAAATACCTTAGTTTTGATTTAGATTTAAAACTCGTTTTGAAAGTTCTTTTAAACTGTATTTCAAAAAAAAAAAAAAAATTGGAGTGTTTTTTTTAGATTTTTTTTGTATTTTTACTAAGAATTGATTTCAAAGATATTTTCACAAAAACATTTTTAATCATTTTAAAAACATCACCAATGAATCCTTAGCCTTTAACACATAGTTTAGTTGGCTGAAAAAGTGTATCTCTCTCTTGAAAGCGCGTTTGAATTGTCTTTTTGTAGCTCAGATTAGTATGAAATATCGTCTTGTAGCAAATATCAATTTTTTTAACAGAGTTATTTAGAATTTTTTATATAGATTTAGGTCGGTTTGAATTTTCTAATTAGATATCAATTTTATTATTAAGGATTTGAGCATATTCTCCCAAAAAAATAAAAAAGGATTTGCGCATAAATAAATTAGTTGGCTAGAAAAGTGTATCTCTCTTGAAAGCGCGTTTGTATTTATTGCTCAGGCTTGTATAAAATATTGTCTTGTAACAAATATCAATTTTTAATGGAGTTAATTAGAATTGTTTGATATTCAATAAGAATTTTTTTTTTATACTTTTAAAGAAAAAATGACCGGTGTAATTAAATTACTTAATATTTATTGGTTTTAAAAACTAATACAGAAAAATACGAAATTGTTTTTTAAACTGTTTTACTTCTTTTATATGACATGGAGACTAAAAGTTTGTTTCATGTTCATGGTTGCAGAAAGACATGTCAATCATGGACAGTAGCCTCGGACAAAATTGAAGATGGACAGGCTTGGAGAAAATATGGCCAAAAGATAATCCTCAATGCTCCATATCCAAGGTTTGTTTTTATTTTTAAGAATTTATGATCAATTTTTTGGGAAAATGATTTATTCAAACTATTTACTCATTTGTTTTGTTTTATTTAATAGTACAATTAAATTAAAGACGACATGGCAATATAGGGTATAATTGGTGTTTAAATTTGTTTGCATTGCATAACTCGTTGGATTCAGCGTATGCTAGAGTTAAAAAAAAAAAAAAATTAAATAATACTGATCCCTTTCAATACGCACAAATAATTGAATTAGAAAGCATAAAAGGAGTAGGAAACCCCAAGCAGAAAAGTTAGGTGGTCACTTCGTTTTGTGGTTCCAACAAAAGTTGGGTTCACATTTCCACTTTTGATGCGATGGACGATGCACACGTATAAAGTTAAAAACACCAGGCCCCAACAATTATTGCAGCAGTGCTAATTGAAGTGCATTCGACAAACAAACAGGAGAAATGGTTTTACCAATGCATATGCATATAGTTTAACGTAGGACCGGTGAAAATGTTGTTTTTGTTGTGTTCGTGTTATTTTTTTGTTATAATATGTTTTCTTAACATGTCGTGTCGTGTTAGTCTGTTATCTTAACGATTTTTAATAGGTGATCAGATAACGACCTGATTCGTTAGCGAGTCGGGTTGTTTCATGTCGTGTTAACGGGATGATGCAAGTTATTGTCATGCCAAATATATAGATTTGGCAAATGATATCTTATATTGTTTTTAATAGGTGATTCGGTAACTTATTAATAGATTCTTAACAGTTAATCTGATAACGACATGACTCATTAAAGGATTAATTAGAAACTTATTATTTTATTGCTAGATTAACATGTCATGCAAGAAAATATCAGACCACTTACTTATAACAAAATACAAAAATTAGAAGTGGTATTAGAGTGGATTTAATTTGTATCTAACCATTGAATATGGATTGACGCATTCTCAAATTATAAAAATATTAATTTATTTTCTCGTTTTCGTACTACGGAAACATTTTACGGTAAAAATTATAGAAAACGGTACCAGATGGACGCTAACGGTTTCATGATCTCAATCGCAGGGCTTACTTCAGATGCACAAGAAAATTTGACCAAGGTTGCAAGGCAACCAAACAAGTCCAACAAATCCAAGACAACCCACTCTCGTACCAAATCACCTACATCGGCGAGCACACGTGCAGAGCCATGATCAAACCTTCACCAATGATCATCGGCTCTAATCCCTGTGAATCTCAGACTGTTAGTTCAGAATCTGGGACCCCACATCACCAAAACCCTACTTTCTTTGGCACATCCGCACCGTCAATTCTCAACGCGAAACAAGAAGATTACAAAGTGGGGACACCAAGTGATCTAACGGACAACAGTATGTGGCATGATTTGAAGGATCACTTGGATTTATCAGAGCCTGTTGGGATCTGCGTGTCTTCCAACGAGGATGTGGTTTCAAACATGCACTGGGAGGAGGACATGGATTATGTGAAGTGTATTAATTTTGAGGATGTTTTTAATTTTGAGAGTTTCCAATGAACTCCTTGCAGTGACAGATTTGATGCTACTTCTTGTTAGCTTCTTGTAATAGCTAGGGTTGATGTGTCACTCAAGGCATTTTCCTAATAATGTTGTTCATAATCCATTTGAGTTGGAAAAAGTGTAATGTTGATTGAAGTCGAAATATTATGTGTCATATCTTTACGCATGAAACGAACTCAGTGCAATGCTACTTAGCTACACAAATATTAACCGATTAGTTCTTGATCTAGTGATATTGTTGACAAGAAAAAGGAAATCTTAAGTTGTGGTGGTAGACAAAAATTTCTTAACGATCACATTAGTCGTAAAGTGATATTGTTGACTGAGAAAAAGAAAACCCTAATTTACGGTGACAGACAAACATTCTTTAACGGTTGCATTAGTCATAAAGTGGTATTATTGACGAGAAAAAGAAAACCCTAATTTATGGCGGTAGACAAAAAATTATCTGACGATCGCATCAATCATAAAGTAATAAAGAATTAAGTTAAGTTTACATTATGGTTTCAAACTTGGCCCTAAAAAGAATTAGGCTTACAAAATAACATGAATTATCACATTGCACACTTTTAAAAGTTTAAACTAGACACATGTGAATTCAATTAATTGACTAGAATAATATATCTGTTTCATCTCACATTTCAGTTTAAATTATTGCTCTCGTAAAATAAAGTATCTTAATTTCAAACTTGTCATGGAAAGTAGTAGGCATGCACATAAGTGAATATAGTACACTTAAAAAATTAACAAAAATACAACCAATATGTTAGGACAATGTGCTAATTCTCTTGCTTTTGAACCTAAATCATCATCCTCTAAGGTTAAAACACTTTAAAATATCATTTTTCGAAATACATAAATAAAGTTTGCAAACAACTATTGACCATAAAAAAAAGTTTACAGACGCCTGTGTGAAATTACTTTAACTAACCTTCTTAGAAGATTAGGATGACTGACTCAGATTAATTTTGTTAATTAGCTCCTATAATCTTTTCATTGGCTAGACAACAATATAAAGAAAATTGACCTGCATACCCAAGTGCTAGCATTTCCTGCCTAGTGATCTAAATTTTTCTTGTCATCTGACTGCCATCTATGTTCAGCAGAATTGAAAATAAAATCCATGCTGCTGCTGCTGCTGCCTGAATTAAACATAGTATCGGCCAAATCCATCACAGGAAAGTCAACTTCTTTACCATAACGTGTGCCGGTGGATGTACCAACGCCATCACCGCTGCCACGACCACTGCCACGACCGCCACCGATCACACCACTGCTGCTGCCTCCTTGTCTAATAGGGTTAAAGTCCATGGAAAGCCATAGAGATGTTGGAGGCTCAGTGGTTGCTGACATATGATCTTGTGGAATATGATGGTCTGCTGTTGGTGGTGGTAGAGTTGAAGGTGCAGTGGCTGAGATGTGGCATGTGTGTTCACCTCTGTACATTACCTCAAATGTTAAGGGGTCATTGTCCAGCCTCTGGACTTGCTTCTTGGCTGGGCAATTGTACAGCTTTTGATGGGTGCATCTATAGTAACTCCTGAGAAAGAAACATGATATAATTAGTCAGTAAAAACACATAAAGTATCGTTTCAAAGATAAAGACAAAGAAAGTCCCATCTTCCATTCCAACAAACAAAAAAAGATAAAAGACAAAGAACTTATGGCACAGACATTAACAGTTAGCGGGCAATTGTACAACTATTGATGGGTGCATCTATAGTAACACTTAATTGTTGTGGCACAGACATTAACAGTTGGCAGGTGATAGAGGTTTTTTTTTTTTTTTTTAATTTTAACGAAAAGCTTCCGGTATTTTTTATTTTAACGAAAAATCATATTTTTACATTAAAAAATAATTATGGGACTATTCACTTTACCTTTTATTTTGTCTTTATCATTAAAACTCAAAGTTTTATAAATATTTTCATTAGTTTTCATTTTTTTTTTATGTAAACATTTCAGACGTCAAATTATAAGAACAAAGAACTTATTACCCATCACATACTAATCTCGTTGTCATAACGTTTATCATATGCTACCCTAGTAAAGTAATTATAAGTAAACTCTGACCCAACATTTGATTTTAGAGAATAGGACTAATTGAACATTCTCAAGTCAAGGCTCCACTCTGGGCAGGGGTCTTCCCATTTACTAAGCAGCAATTGGTCATAAGAAAAAATTAAGGACCGTTCGCCAAATTCGAATTAAAACTGATTGATTGCTGACCAAGTCAAGTCTGGTCAACGCCATGAATATTTCAATATTTCCATGACAAAATGACACTAAATAATTATACCAATTTGACCAAAAGGGCTCCAATATCTAGCATATATGGCATGCCTGAGCGTGGCCAACCCACTACGATGAAGTAGAAGTAGAAGAACGTTGCAAATATTTGAATTGAAAGTGTCAAACAAGATATAATTAACCTTAATCTATATGGTTATGGTCAAATTAATTACCTTGGGAATCTGCTGTTCATGATCTCCTTTTGGCCGTATTTTCTCCAGGTGAAGCCATCTTCTGGCGGGATTTCAGTGTTTCCAATCCTAGGTGCTGGCACTGTTATTTTGTTAATTACCCCTTGATCTTTCCTATTAAAGTAATCAAAATGAACATAAAATAATATGATTAGAAAACAAATGCATGCTGCCAAAATAGTTTGGAAAGAACTTTGATTGACACAGTGAAAGTTTATATGCTTTATCGGGGTCATTTTCTAAGAAGCAGCTTGGTAATGCTCTTCTGCTTTCAACGCATTTTCCCTCTTTCTTCTTAGCGAAGTTACTGTATTTGTACTTTCATACTCTAATTGTGGAACATACGTCTATTTTTATTGATAATGTGTTGATATCATCATCGTCAACAAAATGTATGTATAAGCTATTAGTAGATTCTCGACAATATTAAATACATTACTGACTATACGTGTATTGTTCAACAGCTATGCACACACAAAACAATAATCTTTTACGATGTTGTATTGTTTGCGTGACAATAATTCTAGACAATGTTTTTACGTATACATGCACAAATTAATTACGATCATGTTAAATCTAAGCTCTCAAATAAATTCGTAAATACGCATACCTTCGTCGCGGTCTTTGTGTGCTTGATGACGCAATGTTCACGTTAGAAGCTGACACATCTGCTGCCTGAAAACCCCCAATTACCGCCTCCGAAACCCGGACATCAACGCCGCCACTGACCTTTGCTTCGTTTCGATCAGCTGCTAGTTGGGTTTGGATTATATCCATTGCCTGCGTATTAGACCTCAGCCATTGTTCAACACTCGTTCCAATCTGCTGGTGCTCAAGTGTTAATAGGCTGTGAAGATATGAAGTACTACTTGAGCCTTGACTATGTAAAACCCTTTCTTTTGCTGAACCAAAAATCTTTGTGATTTCTTCCAAAGAATTGGAGAGTAAGTCAGGTTGGGTGGCCAAGTTGGGTAAGGTTTCTTTAAGCTTTCCGGCCAACATGCATCCATGGAGGATTAAAGAAATGATTTCTTCCATGGATTCTGGTTCTGGCAGCTTTTGCTTTTTTTGGGTTGGTTTCGATTCGAACATGCTATATGGTGGTGGTGGGGAAATTTAAAAGTGTTGTGAATATAAGCTGCTTTTGTGAGGCTTCTTCTGAGTTGGTGTTTCATGAAAAAGATAGAGAAATTGTTCAAAGGTATTTATGTTTATTTTACACGGTACAAAATTTGGAAAATATGCAAATTTGACTAAGTCTTGGTCAGATTGGAACAAGTGTGGTCTACTTAATTCGGATTTCAATTTCAACCCTTCTCTTTTCCATCGAGTCTAGAAGACGACTTGCTTCATTGAAACCAATTTTGTTGGATCCCTTAAGGAACTTCTCGGAGGTTTGAAGTAATTAACTTAGCCACAATTTTTTTACGTAACATATTTTAAACTAGCTATTTTAATTTACGGAGCAAAATTCAAACTTGTGTGTGAGGGGCGAGCATATTATCTTAATTAACTGACCTAATCAAAATATGCTACAACATATATATGTTTGAACATACATATATATGTTTGAAATAACTCATTTTAATGAGTCTTTTACTTATCTATAATGTGAAAAAAAATCCACATATGTTGTAGTGAATAAAGTAACCGAGTGTAACATATATATAAGATCATTTTGGTATAGAAAATGGTTAAGGAGTTTGAATTGTAGAAATTTTATACATTTATACGTTTGAATGAGTTTTTTACTTATCTATAATGTGAAAGTTAATTATCCACATATATTAACGCGAACAAAATTACCTAGCGTAACATACAAGATCATTTTAGTATAGAAAATGGTCAAAGAGTAGAATCGTGGAAATTTTAGTTATTCCTTAAAAAAAATGATGACTCAACCATTGCTTATACTAGACCATTGAGGAAAATGTTATTTAACAAGTTAACAATGTTAAATTAGTGTTAGAAACCCTTGCCCCTACGTCAAGTTTGTGTTGAAGGAAAATTGGTCCTCCACTGAAATCCTATACAAACCAATCACAGAGAGGTAGTCAAGATTCCATGAGTCCCCGACCCCATTACTCTCTTTCCATGAAATAGTGTAGGACAAGGGCAAACTTTACATATGGGCTGCTGGGAATAAGGATCCGCCCGGATCTTTTTTTTGTGAGAATTCCAAGAATTCGTGTATCGTGTCTGTTCATCGTATATCGTACGGTCAGAAACTATTTTAAATTTTATTATTTAAAATTGAACACAAACAGTATCTGACGAAAACTAACTACATGATGTACTATGAACGGACACGATTTACGAATCTTTGAGATCCTAACAAAGAGGATCCAGAGAGGATCCTGATTCGGCTGCTGGTATTACACCTCAAAAGTCTAATTTAAATAAACAACCAAAGGTTGTTAAGAACTACCATGCTTTTCAATTTTGTCATTGATCATTTCTGTTCATTTAAATTTCTTAAAAAATTTAAAATTTATGAGTTGTTTTTTCTATCCAAAAGCAATGGGAAAGGAGGTGGAGGAGGAGATAAAGGAAAAAGGAAATTAAACTTCTTTTTTGTAAAGACTAAACATGGGTAAGAGAAAAACGTACCCAGCAATTGAGGTCATCTGAACCCAATAACCCCACCTCGTACAGTCCAAGCTGGATATTTTAAGAGCTGGTGTGCCAAAAAAGTCGAGAGAATTTGTCTTGCTATTGCTATTGGTTGTATATTTGTACATGACAAAAGAGATAAACACAAGAATATACAACATGAGATAGTTGAGATAATCTCTCGCCCTTACAACTGTAAATGATTGTATATTCTGTCATCATACTGCGAAGTATTGGCCACATCACGGAGGTAGTACCTCGAAATCATGTCCGATTCTTGCTTGCAAGTTGAGACAGGTACACATGATCGTTAATGCTTCCAATTTAGTTTGGTTGTCTTCTTGTAATTTTGGTTTCTGCAGGAACCACAGCTCACAGCAAGTAAAAACTTTAAGCTGAAGAAGATATTCTCCCTGTGATTTTCGTCATCTGTTTTCGTTCTCCTGTTTTGTATACGAAAAAATGCAAGTCCACAGCACTATAAAATCACAGGCTTAATTAACAAGGAAAATGCATATTTATCACTTACATTACAATATTATGCTAAAATCATCTCATTATTCATGTCAAGAAGAAAACAGGAACTGAAGAAAAAAAAACTAGAAAAATCCGTAAAATAATAAATCATCTAGAAGCCATTCTTGAATCTGCATCTTGTGTTATCCTCGTGATTGTTTTGCAGTACCACGAGCGGCTTTCCCATCAGCTGCCTGCATTGCCTCTTGTACCTTGCATTGTCCTTCTTCGCCATCTGCTTGTATAACTGCAAAATACATTCTCATTATATCTCTTAATCTTCCCTTCTATCAAACTAAACTAATCGAAGAAAACTTAATTGTTCGTGATAATCCGAGAGAACGAGAGATTGCAGACCCTTTTTTCTCTCTGAGGGAGTTGGCACATTCGACCGAGTTGCTAACTTGTTTCGCCAAAAGAAGAAGATTTGGCCATACCCCAAGCGCCATAACAAAAAAAGCATAAGAAGTGATATTCGGGGAAAATATCATCACTCTTTCAAACAGATCACTCTTTACTCCATTTTCTTACCACAAGACCTAATCCTAGCTAGTCGATGACAATGGTATTCGAGGAAAATGTCACCCCACTTCTCAGCCTTGTCACTTTAATGTTACTCTCTCCATTCTTTCTTGTCTCACAAGACTTGGTGACTAAATTGCCATGATCTTCCGCTTCATTTGGGGTCATGTATGAAGAAAAACTCAAATTTTCAGCAGGAAGGGTTTTCGGGGAGGAGTAGGATTCTCTCCTCGCCAAATTACTCCCCCTTCTAGTTCCCTTCTATTTGAACGGTCACAATTAAGCTGCGTCAACATCTCATTTTTTACTTTTTTAGAGAAAGAGAGAAAAAGAAGAAAGTGAAAGAGGAGAAGACTGGAAGAGAGAAAATTTAGAAAAAAGAGAATCCTATTCATTTCACAGAAATACGCATTTGCATTTAGAGAGTTGGGGAGGCTGTGATTCTCATATCTAGAATTTCAAGTTCCCAGTGCCTTTGAATTGAACGGTGTCTATTCCATTATTTTTGTTTTCTTTTTTTACCGATAATTACTATTTATATCTACTTATTATAACAGAGGGAGCAATTGACATGTTTTAAAAAAGATTAGGAGGTTCGAATCAAAATTGAAAATTCAGGGGCAAGTTGAGGGGTAATGCCAACATTTTTCTTAAATAAAATTATAATCAATATTCTGATTTATTTTTCATACAAGCGATTGTTAGAGTGGGCACACGACGTTTGGAATTTTCATAAAAAACTCATGATCGCTTAACCTACAAACTCATTGGGTAATTCTCATTTAATTTTGATAAATTGATGCAAAGTCTCATGACTTGTTGAGGGATTTTTAAACGTGCTAGAATTTGGTGCAGAACGATACGTCATATATTATTATACAAGTAGTGATAAGTTTTTTTTTTTTGTTTTTTTTTATTTATTTTTATTCAAATGTCTTTAGTTGTATAATGACATATGACATAAGTGTGGCACACCGAAAAATATCTAGCGACTTGTTAGAGTAAAAAAAAAAAAAAAAAAAATTCTTTCTAAAATTAGAAGGTATAGAGGGTAAACTGAATTACTGAAATGTCTAACAGTCTGGTAACCCGGTTAAGCCAAATCTCGAAGTGTGCTAAACATCCTAAGATCCCATGATTCTATATCATTCCTTGTGATTGATTAACAATGTTGTCAGAGGAAGTGACACACAGAGACAAAGGCAAAATGGGTCACAGAGATCTGCCTTCTCCAAATTCATATGGATATTTTATACTGTTGGTGCTGATGCACTTCATTATTTTAGCATCTGCTTCGATCCATGACTACCAGGACGAGTCCTTCATCCGTCGTTCCAATTCCTTCTTCTTCCATGGCGGAAGTGAGGGCCTTTACGCTTCCAAGCTCGACTCTGGCAATGACAAGTCTAGCTCTGAGGATAAGCCCCTCAATGGCAAGTCATTCATCAGGTAAATGGATTAAGTTTCCACCTTTTTTTTATTGATCTGTTTTTTGGGGGAAATAATTTATGGGTTCTTTGTTATTTGTTTTGTTTGATAAGACAATATTCTAAAGTAATCTAATTTACGGGGCGATGGGTTAGAACTTTGGGTGCAAGGGACCGGACACACTGTCATAGATGGCCAAATAATGTGCATTGCTGATGGGTGATTGTTTTGATTGGAAAAGTTGAATTTTTGAGTGAATTGAATTGGGTTTGTGTTGGTGTATGTTGAAAGTTGTGGTTTATGGATTAAATGTGCAATGCATTGTGCAGTGATTGATTTGTTTCAAAGAGGGTTGGCTGTTGAAATGGCAGTGCTTCATGCTATGAAGTTGAAATCTAGAGATGAAGGAATGAATATAATGAGGGGACACCGCTTGTATCACTAATGTAGGGTGCGTTCGATAACTATTTTGATTTTAGTTTTCATGTTTTCTGCTAGAGATAGAGAGAAAGTATGTAGGAGAAATGAGGAACGGAGAAGGATGCAGGGACTGGTGGGAGGTAGGAAATGAAAGAGATTATACGAAAACAAAAACTTGAAGGGAAACAATATATGAGAAATTTCAAAGGTAGGTTTTTGTAGGTTAACCATTTTCGGTCAGAAGTATTTGTAGGTTTTTGTGTATAAACGAAACATTTCAAAGGGGTTTATCCTTTCCATATGTGAATGCAGGTTCGAATCGATCATCTTTCAAAGAACCCGGGAATCTGCTGAAAAGAAGAATGAGATGCAGCAGAGGACTGGCTTGGTAGAGGCTATTGTACTCGAGGTTAGGGACAGGGAGAAGATTGGAGGTTCTTACTTGAACTCCGTAGCAATATGCTGCACCCCAGAGCTGTCCAAGGATGGTTCCTGCAAGGTGGGAGAGGTTATCATCCAACAAAACCCAGACAACCCTGATGGGCCCAAAAGGATTCAGACCTTCTTCGAGGGTAAAAATGAAGAGGCTAATATGGATATCCAAACTATTGAGATCAACAGCACCGGAATGTACTATCTTTATTTTATGTTCTGTGATCCAGAACTTGTTGGCACATTAATCAGCGGAAGAACTGTTTGGAGGAACCCTGACGGTTATTTACCCGGAAAGATGTCCCCATTGATGACATTTTTTGGTCTAATGTCTTTAGCATATCTTGTCCTCGGTCTTTTCTGGTTTCTCCGCTTTTTACAGTATTGGAAAGACATAATACAGTTGCACTACCACATCAGTGCTGTAATTGGACTTGGAATGTGTGAAATGGCCCTTTGGTATTTTGAATATGCAAATTTTAATTCCACTGGGAGCAGACCAATGGGAATTACCATATGGGCGGTAACCTTCAGCGCCGTTAAGAAAACTGTCTCCCGGCTTCTTCTTCTGGTGGTTTCAATGGGCTATGGTGTTGTGCGGCCAACTCTTGGTGGTATAACCTCGAAAGTACTTCTCCTTGGGGTAATATATTTTGTAGCATCAGAAGCACTTGAGCTTGTTGAACATTTGGGGAATATCAATGACTTTTCTGGAAAAGCCAGGCTTTTTCTGGTGCTACCGGTTGCTCTTTTGGATGCCTGTTTTATTCTTTGGATCTTTTCCTCGTTATCTAAAACTTTGGAGAAGCTTCAGGTAACCTTATTTTTCATGTTCATCCTTTCCTACCTTGTTATCACTACATGAACTTACTTTTTGGCTTGACCTTGATCAGCACATTTGGTAACTAAGGCATCTGGATTTCCTGTCTTGGAAGTGTGTATGCATCATAGATACCTGGCCGATATATTTCCAATGGAAGTTGCATAGTTAGAATCCATCTGTGTTTTACAACATGACTATCTCTGAAGAAATTGTTTTACCTAGGTGTTATTTTAGTGCTTAGAAGCACGGTAGCATATATATATATATATATATGAGAATGTCTTACGTCTGTTACATACATGAAGATTCATTAGCTTGCTTTTGAATGCAACGCTTCGTATTCAGCTTGAGGAAACTAAGTGAATATGTCTCTGTCTACCAGTGCGCACAGATTCGAAGAAGCATGGCCAAACTTGAGCTGTACCGGAAGTTTACCAATTTCCTTGCAGTAACAGTGCTGCTCTCTGTTGCTTGGATTGGTTATGAGGTCTGTTTTGTTTTGTTTTGTTTTATGTTCTGTTCTACTTGTGTATGTGTTCCACTCTTCTCTTCCTTTTCTTTTCTTTTACGGTATTACTATCTGTATAACTAACAGTTAAACTTCTGATCCTTGTCTGTTCAGTTGTATTTCAACGCGACTGATCCGCTGAGTGAACTGTGGCGAAGAGCCTGGATCATCCCAGCTTTCTGGACCTTGCTTGCTTATTTGCTGTTGATGGTGATATGTGTTCTTTGGGCTCCATCCAATAACCCAACCGGGTACGCTTTAAGCCTCCTTTTCATTGCATCATCCAACTTTCTGAGTTTGCTTCCTTCAGCTTTTGCTTATCAAACACTAGTAAAACTGCTCACATTACACCAATTCAAGTTCTTCAAAGAGTTTTGTAATCATGCGTCAAATGCTCTCTGAGCGATGTTTACAAGACGTTCTCTAGATATTCAATTTCTTCAGTTTTCTCAACGAGCTTCTGACACACCTAGTGAGGATACTTTGAATTATGACTTAATGCGGGCTTCTGCAGATATGCATACTCGGAGGAGACTGCTGATGACTTCGACGACGAGGCTATCTCACTCACGGGAAGTGGAGTTAAGGTGGCGGGCGGAGACTTGGCAACCAAGTTAGAGAGAAAGGAAAGGAAGGCCTCGAGCGCAGCAGATCATCACGTGTTTGGGCTTGGGGAAGATCTAGAGGAGGACAAGAGAGAATAACGACCGGCTTTTCTTCCGATATTTCCATTTGACTCCCTTTGGATATTAGCATTCGTTTGCAGGAATGCACACCTTCACCATATTGTCAATGACTGGTAGAGAGCCCTTGGAGAAAGAAAAGGGAGAAGAGGAGTAGGTGGGAGGGTTGTACGAGAGAAAGCTTAGTGACTTAGAGTATATGCAGAGGAGATGTCAAATTTTAAGTAGAATGTCACGCAATTAAATTTGAAGATAGAAAGAAGCTTTAACGAATGTGTCAATTCTAGGTGAGTCGACATAAAAGTATTTTGCTGGCAATTTTGACATATGAGAAAAGGGGCTGTCAAATATTTTTTTTAAAATTGTTTTGTTGTGTGGATCCTATGCATTAATTATAAATCAATAAAATATATCTTAATTGATTTTTTTTTAAGTAGATCTTATACATATTATTATAACAAAAAAATATGGTTTGGAGAAAGTAAAAATTTAACATTGTTACCTGATAAGTCATCAAATTAACATTTAACGCTTATTTTTTGACATTTCTATTAAAGATGTTCTTCAACCCTAAAATTAGACTAAGTTAAACACTCGTGTAAAATTTTGTAGGGGTTGAAAAAAAATACCGAATATTCCAAAAAACACTTAAAAAATACCAAAATTTTCGAAACTTTTGATACCGAACCGATTTGGAAATTTCGGCATAGGAATCAGTCTCATATTTTCATTGGTTCGGTAATCCTGAACCGAATCGAAATAAAAAATATATATATTATTTAATTTTAAATATATATTTGGAATTGTAACCGTCATCAGATTTGGTTAAGATTTAATCTCAACCGTTGAATATAAATCAAACCCTCACACACTCAGTCACTCAGAACTCGGTCTCTCTCTCTCTCTGTCTCTCTCTCTCTCTCCCCGTCTCTCTACTGGACGTCTCGACCTCACCTCAGACCTCAGTACGTCACCACCCTCCACGCGATTTCTCTCTCCGTCTTGGAATCCGGCCACACCCACATCACACAACCTCGACTGATATGGAGGTTGATGATGAAATCAGGTAAATTTTGGAATTAATTTAGGGTTTGAAATTTAATTTAGGGTTCGAACTCTAGATTAGGGTTTGTGAAATTTAGCGCTTGGAAGATACTGATATGGAGGTTGATGATGAACGGTAGTTCAATTTATTCTCCTAAATTGGTGAATTAGGATTTTCTGCTTGTGCAAATACCCAATTGGTGAATTGGGATTTTCCTGTCAAATTTGATTCCTTTGGAGGTAAAATCAAAATCCCAACCCTGCCCATTTTCTCTTCTGTCACAATTGAAGCATAAATCTGAGAAAATCTTAAAGGGGGTTCTGCAACTTTCCTTTTCCCAGTTTCTAGGCTTCTAGGTCATTTGATTCAAAACTTGCAAGAGCTAGTTGTTATTTCCTTATAGGTAAATTGGTAGCCATTTTTATTAATTATTGTTATAAATTATAATATTCAATTGCTTGCAGCTTGGAGTGATTCTCCTTCTCCCTAATATTTTGGTCATAGTTTGGAGAGATTCAAAACCCCCTTTTCCATCTAGTTCCTTCAACAGATTGGTGTTTGAGTGAGCTGTTGATTATCACTTTTGAGCTTTACCACTTTTGTTGAACTCAATACATGTTATACATTTGTTATAGTTGCTTAGCCAAATGTACAAATGAAGGGGGAATGATTTCGTATAATTTCTTATTGGACGGTACACACTTGTCCTGCAGAGTGCTTAATTTGTTTGTGTCATTTTGTTCTTGCATGTCCATGTGTTGTTAGGTCGACCTTTTTAGCGTAATAGTGTTAATTACTATCTCTAATCGTGACATTCATTTCTTGTCCGATGGCATGTATGTGAATATTGTTCATCTGTTTTCGGGTTGCAGAGTCCCTTGGACACACTGTTCTGGGGTGGCGATCTGTTCCAACAGATAACTCAGACTTGGGGAATTCTGCTTTGCAGAATGAACCTGTTATTAAGCAAGTGTTCCTTACTGTGACCCCAACGTCGACGTCGAACGACAGGTTTTTTTTTTCCATTCCCTGCGCTAGAAGCTTGATCCTATGGTTTTTGAGGTCTTTAGGGTGGTGATTCGTTTGTTGCTAGTGATTAGATCAATTCTGTAATTGTGATGTAAAAGTAAAAGTAAAGTTAGCAAACATTTCTCATGTGCATAGGTGTGACAGAATTGAGTTTTGCAGAAATTCAATTAGCATGAGAAATGGTTTGAGATCCCGATTTGTCCTGAAATCCTGAAACTATTTCGGGATTCCCAAATATTTGGTTTGGGATCGGTCTTGAAATTGGGATTCCTGAAAATTTCGATTTGGGAATTGGAATATGGTTTTCGGTTATGTATCTCATACCGAACCAGCCCTAAAATTTTGTGTACAGCTCAAGTCATAATCTTGGGTGTCCCTGATAATGTATCCCGCGCCCACTTGATGAGAAAGGTAGAGAGAGATATGAATGTGCAACTAGTTGCACCGACATAATTCCTTGTGGCTAGTGGGGAAGCCACCCAAAGGCTAAAGTGCGGTTGTTGTGGCGCAGGAAACTTTTTGGTAAATTCATCCTTAATGGCTAATGTTAATATATGCAGCTTGTATAGCTCACTCAATTTCAATCCAAATTATTATTTAAGATATACAATGCAAGATAGTTAATAAAAAGGGGAAAAAGATCCTCGTCGGATATATAATGCAAGATAGGTAATAAAAAAGGAAAAAGGATCATTGTCAGATCATTTTTCTAGGGATCTCGTGATCTCATCCGTTCATCGTATATTTTACGGTTAATTTTTGTTAGATACTATTCATATATAATTTTAAATTTTAAATTTTAAAATGATTTTTGACCGTACGATATACGATGAACATGTGAGATCACGGGATTCTTAGGAAAAGGATTCGGTGAGGATCCTTTTCCATCACGTACTTCTGATGCTAAAAATAATACATGGGTTCTCTCTCTTCTTCCGCACCCTTTGATCCTATTTGTATAGAAAAAGACGTTTTACCCTATTCAATTTAGCCCGTGTGCTTCATACACAAGAAAAGAAAACGAATTTTTTCTTTTAATCCACCATTTGGTACGTTCTTAATTTCTTTATTCACTTATTCTTAATTTAATCAGTAGGTTAAGTTATTTATATGCATCGAATTTGTCTATTAAGGTAACGATTTTAAGAATAATTTAAAATGAAGAAGGTGATATTCGTTTTCCTTTCCGCATGCACCATTAGATTGGATCTGCCGTAAGAACAATGCTTTATCCCATTGTTTTACGTTGATTATTATACAATTTAATATCAACAAAAAAATTAAACATATAATTTATAGTACTAAATTCAACTTTCCCAACCAAAATCCTTTCGCCCTTGTTTGTGGCTGAGAGCTTTCAACCTGTAAATCTTGTAAGGTGGATGGAAGTGACGTGAGGTCGGGGGTTACATATTGGACTGGCCTAAAGCGATGAGCCACTCATTTTATTCCTTATTTATTTTCTGTCGTGGTTCTCGGCAGATCGTCAAACGTCTTGCTTTTTCTTTCTCCTTGTTCGGGGTTGGGTGATAAAGATGGTAACAGGAAAGGAGAGAATTCTTTTTTTTTCGGCAGATCGTCAAACGTTTTGTTTTTTCTTTCTTCTTGTTCGGGGCAGGCCGATAAAAGTGATAATAGAAAGGGAGAGAATCTTATTTTTTTGGGCAAATTGTCAAACCTTTTGCTTTTTCTTTCTTCTTGTTCGGGGCAGGGCAATAATAATTGTAATAGGATAGGAGGGAATCTTCTTTTTTTTTTCAAACATTTTGCTTTTTCTTTCTTCTTGTTCCGGGCAGGGTAATAATAATTGTAATAGGAAGGGAGAGAATTTTTTTTTTTTTTCAAACATTTTGCTTTTTCTTTCTTCTTGTTCGGGGCAGGGCAATAATAATTGTAATAGAGAGGGAGGGAATCTTTTTTTTTTTTTCAAACATTGTGCTTTTTCTTTCTTCTTTTTCCGGGCAGGGCAATAATAATTGTAATAGAGAGGGAGGGAATTTTTTTTTTTTTTCAAACATTTTGCTTTTTCTTTCTTCTTTTTCCGGGCAGGGCAATAATAGTTGTAATAAGAAGGGAGAGAATCTTTTTTTTTTTTTTTTCAAACATTTTGCTTTTTCTTTTTTCTTGTTCCGGGCAGGGCAATAATAGTTGTAATAAGAAGGGAGAGAATCTTTTTTATTTTTGGGTAGATCGTCAAATATTTTGGTTTTTCTTTCTTCTTGTTCGGGGCAGGGCAATAAAGATGATAATAGGAAGGGAGATAATCCTATTTTTTTGATAGATCGTCAAACATTTTGCTTTTTCTTTCTTCTTGTTCGGGGCAGAATAACGAAGATGGTAATAGAAGGATAGAGAATTCTACTTCTTTCGGCAGATCGTCAAACGTCTTGTTTTTTCTTTCTTCTGTTTCGGGGCAAGAGGGAAAAATAAAGTAGAAAAATACAAGTGGAGCAGTTAAAAAGTAAGAAAGAGAGAAAAGTGGAAGCTTTTAAAGGCATCAACCTAATAAACACGGAGGCCTCCAACCAACGCGGTGATGATTCGACTTCACATCACGATGGCTAACTAACCAACCAACAACCAAACCTCACCGGATCATTTTTCTATGGATTCCAGATATTTTGTAATCGTGATTGTTGATTGTGAAATCAGAAATTATTTTAAATTTTAAAATTAAATATAAATAATAGGCATTGTGATCGTTTATCGTACATCATGAGATCATAAATTATTTTAAAATTTAAAATTAAATATAAATAATAGCTAACGAAAATTAACTGCATAATGTACAATGAATGATCAAAATCACGGGATCTCTAAAAAAAAATTCGAGGCTCCTTTTCCCAACCAAACCACCGATTAACCATAAAGTGATTTTTATTATATATTGAGAAATGTTAAAGGAACACTCTTAAAGTGAGACTCACTCTCTCAATTTTTATATCATTATTATAAAATATTGTGTCAAAAACATAAAGTGATAGAGAGCTCATAAAAAATTACTTTTGAGAGAGTCACGTTAATGTTTCTCTTATATATTATATACAAGTAATATTAAAAAAATAAAGAATCCAACTTGAGATTTTAAATAAATGCTCTTACTCTTAATTACATGATGGAAATCATTGAACACAAAATCTCAAACGCAAAATAAATAGCCTTGCTCTTATCATGTGACAAAAATTCAACACAAAAAAACAATAAAATAGATAAATACTCTTAATCACGTAAAAAAAAAAAAAAAAAAAGATAGAATCAATACTTCAAATTCAAGTTGTTCAACAACGTGTGATCTACGAAATGAGTGCTCTTGCTTTCTAAGAGTGCATGATTGCTAACATTTGAATTTAACATCAAAAGTAAAAATAATAGAGATTCATTTTAAACATTTTATCTTTTGAGTACATTTTTGTTCATCATCATTTATGTGATATATGTTCATTATCATATTTATTACTATTAAATGAGTTTGAATTTTATGATTTGTAATTATCTACTACATGAATTTTGAAATTCAAACACATCTAATAATGATAAATAGAATGATGAACATACATCACACTAAACGATGATGATAAAAAATGCTCCCTTATCTTTTAACTCCCAATACCAAATCTGACAACGACAAAGAAGACGCGTGGGGGAGAGAGAGAGAGAGAAAGAGTAACAACTGACGAAGCGGAAGACAACACAAACAAGCAGCATCACTCTGCTTTCCACACATCACATGGGCGCTCGTTGTCTCGGGACAGATGGAAAGCTTTCCACGGCGCCGCGCCGACACCTCACCCCCAAGCCAGGAATACAAGATAGCCTTTGAGATTGTTTAGTCACGGAAGCCAACGCAAAGATGGGCACCTCGCCGCCACTCCACCCAACCCAACAAGAAAAACACACAACCCCAACCACCGCCAAACACCAGCCGCCGACGCCGCCGCTAAACCCAAACCCAATGGAGCTTCCGGAAGAACTCATCGTCGACATCCTCAAACGGCTTCCCCCCAAATCCCTCGTCCGATTCAGGTGCGTCTGCAAACCATGGTGCTCTCTGATTAAAAGCCCGAGTTTCGTCCAAGCCCTTCTGAAGAAAAACCGAGCCATGTTCCAATCCGAGCTGGGAACCAGCACCCGTGTGATTTTGTCGCGTTACTGCGACACCCTTTTGTCAATGGAGTCCGAAAACAACAGTGTTGTCGAGACTGTCGAGCTTGACTTCGATCTGGTTCGGAACTTGCCGTATTACGTAAAGGGACACTCCGATGGGCTGCTCTGTGTGGTTATCAATGATGGGATCGAGGGTGTGGCTGTAATTTACAACCCGACGATCCAGGAGTACCGGAAGCTCCCTTCTCCTCAGAATTTCAGAAGTACGAGGGAGGTGCTGGGTTTGGGTTACGATGCCTCAATCGATGATTACAAGGTTGTTCGAGTCCCGTCGAACTATTGCCGGCTGAAAGTTGCGGGTTACAAGCCGCAAGTCGAGGTATTGGAACTAAAAACCAATTTCTGGAGGAAGATTCCAGACGAGGATACGCCGCCGTTTTTCATTGAGCATATTTTCCAATCAACGGAAGTGAATGGCGGGTTGTATTGGATGGCAGAGGACCACAATTCGGGAAGGTGCCTGATCCTTCGATTCGATTTGGCCGAGGAGAAGTTTAAGGTGGTGCCGCCACCGCCAGATGAGAGTGGTCGGAGTATAGCATGGATTGGATCTTTGAAAGACCACCTTTGTGTTGTCCACACTCGGAGGTTGAGTGATGTTCATGTTTGGGGAACAAAAGATGACAAGAACTGGAGTAAGATCATCACCACTTCGAAGTTTCCAAGGATTCCGACCAAAGACCCGTTCCTCGATTCGTTTCGGTACATGCCGCTGTCTTTTACCAAGAAGGGAGCTTTGCTGATGAGCGTTGGAGGGGAGAGGTTTGTGACATTAGATACAAAAGACAATACATTCGAACACGTCGACATCAAGGGTGCGAATCATTGGCTGCAGGAGACAGTGTATTGCGAGACTCTTGTTTCGCCCGGTTGTGGTGTGAATCCGACAGAGTCGGCGGCGGGGTTGGGGTTGGATGTTGGTGCGTCAGAGGAAGAGGAAGAGGACCAATCAGACGGGGAAAGCGCGAGTAATAGCCTCAGGCAATTGCTGCTTGGTTTGAAGAGGGAAGTTCATAACTTGTTGGCTTGTACCGTTAGCCACAGGAATATCAGAGATGCGGATTGAGAAGACTGCATACTTGACTACACAAAACAATTTGATTAGTTTTGAATACCGTCGCAGTTGCAGTCGCATCCGCTGCAGGAAAGTTCCTCTCCAGCATGTTTGCTGGTATAAGTGTTGTGAGTTTGTTGCTTATAACCCACAAGATCTTCTCTTTTCTTTTGTAATAGACAGAGGCAACAAATTGTATGTGTTAAGTCAACGAGTTGTATGTGTAAGTCAACTTTTATATATAATATGCTATGTTATGTTGCATTTATCTAATTGGTCAGCGTCAATTATTTGATCAGATCAACAAGAAATCGTCCTCCTGTTTGAATTTAGGCGGAGATATGAACACAAAGGGGATGAATCTCAGTGTATGATGAATTCTGCTGTTTATAAAACCTCTGCAAAAAAGTGTAATCTGAATTTTGCAAAAACTCTCACTTGTGGTCAACAGGTTCAGACTTCTTCAACCTGCAGTTGGAAATGTAAAACCCTAATGAATTAACAACCAAAACCACAACTTATATTCTTGTTATCTAATGCAATGGGGAGAGGGAACGGAGGAGGACCTGAGGGAGGCTCATCAGCTGGACAACGGCTTTCGGGGTCCGTTCGTTTAGTTAGCTGTCGATATTCCGCGCAACTACGGTCAAAACCGGCATCTTCACGTTGTACTTCTGTGCCAGTGCAATCACAGCTCCTGCTGTTGATGCACCCTCTTCCACCTGATTCAAGCTGCTCCCCCGATACAAGACATGTAAGCATGTAAGCATAATGTCTCCAAATTCCTGATAGGCCAGTGATTGTTAAATGCTCGGGGGATGATCTGAGACATGGTACTCAACGTATTGAGCTCTAGGCCCTTGCTAATTGATATGAAGGGCAAGCCTGGACGTACATTTTCTGCAATTCCATCAAGAAGCGACAAGCGAAACTGTGATATCAGAGACGAGGATTCGGGTACTAGCCTCGGAGTAGAGCATTTTCAAGGTTGTCGATTAAGCAGCACACCAATCTTACATTGTCTGATAGGAAAGAGCTTAATCTAAACCTATCATGCAGAAGTGCTTTTCAGATATCGATTGAGAAAAGCTCCAAGGGCTCGTTTGGGACTACTTCTGTAGGAAGGTTAGAAGAGCTTATATTAGAGAAGATTTGAGATTTTCTTCGAGAAGCACACTTGGAACTTGGAAGTGCATTTCTACAAACGATAATCAAGTTTAGGTTTCTCTGCCAAATGTAGTAAGAAGAGCCTCTAGTTGTCGAGAAAATTTTATTTTTTAAGTTATTAACTTTTAGCACACATATCCCATAGTGATACGTGATGTACCATCCCGTGTATTGGTCACACTAAAAAATTTCTCCTGGCAGTCAAAAAGCGCTTTTAACCTCTAGAAGCAGTGTGAAACACGCCCTAAGTTAATAATGTAATACCAGGATAGGAAAGGGAATGAAAGACCTGCACAGAGACCGCATGAAAGCGATAATCGGCACCCGGCAAAGCAGCTTTGGCATCAGTTGTTGCAACTATATTTTCTGGTAGCCTGTGTTCTGGGAAGAAATGATAGCTTTCGGGTTATGCATAAAAGTTAATACTTCGTAAGTCTTACCGATTATAATGGTTGCTATTGATAGACTGGCAATTGGATGTATTGCATTTGGACCAAACAAACGACGTCAACCGATGAAAAGTGTGGGAGGCAATTATATAAAAAGGCCCCTTCAACAATTGCAAGCGCTTGCGCCCGAGTGAAAGCCCAGCAGGCAACCCCCCGGCGGGGGGAAGCCCAGCTGACTTTTTTATGCCGCAGCTCTTTGTGATCTTTGATTTCGAAAAATTGCCCAATCTAATAATTAGGATTAATCCAACTCTAAAAAAATCATAGAATTGTCAAAAAAAAAAATTAAAATAACTTACAAAATTCATACTTTAAAAATCTTGCAAAGTTCAACACACTTGCAAACTAAACATTCAACATTATTCAAAAATCTACAGCAATAAAAATATGTGAGAATAAGACGAAGCAAAGATTAAAAAATAAAAAATATATTTGTGAATAGTAATCGTCATTGTCTTATTCCTTCGAAACGAGTGAACTCGCACATAGACAATTACTGTTCAGAGTAAATAGTTAGTAAATAGTAAAAGCAATTTCATTGCCCTTGCCCTCCATCAACGGATGAAGATGCTCTAAGAGGAAGAGTGGATATGGAGGGGAAGTCGAGGCTGATTGAGGGTGGGGAGGGGAGGAGTGGGGTTTGTGATGGTCGGGGAGGGGTGTAATGTGTTATTAGTAACAAATTTTGTAGGGAACATGAAAAAATCATTGCCCTCCTAAAATATGCGAGAAATGAGACATAATTGACATAAATGACTTAATGTGCAATAAGTGACCAAATTTGAGGAGCACATAATCACAAATAAACTGCGGGAACGAAGCTCGGGCATTAATTTAAGAACCGATATTACAACTAACCCTAATTATAGACCCCAAAGTGAATATCTTTGTCATAAACAACTTCATAGATCATGTTTAATGTCTAATTTAATCTTTCCTTTTGCACCTAATGACACCTAATGTGTTAAGACCTTAACAATCTCTCTCCATACCAATGTAAAAAGTAGAAACCTAGCTATTAATTTATTACTTGCCGGGTTGAAGCGTAGACGAGCGAGTAGAGCTCAATAAATTGGAAGATCATAGACTGAGGGACCGGCGAAAGTCGCGATCCATAATGTGGGAATAAAACTTCCTATATAACCCATTCTCTGCTCCTAGGGGTCTTGTTACCATCATCGATCTGTTCGGACAGGACATGGTGTACATATTACAAATGTAGTTTCTTAATTTAGACTTTTAATACATTCTAGTCCAATAAGGATATGTGACTCGACAGAACATTTATCCTTAAACATTTAATTTCTACGCACACAAAAAAAATTGACTAAAATCGCAAAAGATTAGGAATGCCATTGCCAACCACACAAGCAACGCGCAAGAAAAAGATGCACCTTGCTTGTACAAATAACAAAGAACCTTGATCGCTATTTATCAAAAAAGCACGTTCTTTTGGCTTCTAGTTAATCACATCCATCCATAATTAAACAAATTTAATCAGTTGATTAATTTTTAAACTCCATCTTTTAATTTTAAGCAGCTTCCATTTCAACCTTCTAAATCAAATTGCATTGCTAAACAAGTTGTGATTCAATCTCTCTCTCTCTCTCTCTCTTGTCAAAACCAAGGGAGAAAATTGAAGCTCCCCATCGCCAACACCAAGAGTTTCTCAAGGTTTGTTAAGCAAAAATTGAAAAAAGCTATGAACATTGATTTTTTTTTTTTTTTTTCCTTTCTGTTTTAAACAATTGGGTCGTCAGTTTTTTGATATGAATGCATGGATTTTGGATTTTTTTAGGTGACTGCTAGTAGGTAATGGGAAAGCGTCAGCGTTGCGGTTCTCGCTGTGTTGGCCATGATCACTCCATCAACGGAATAAAGAAGAGCCTACGAAATCCAAAGAGGACGTGCCATTGTTTTTCAGTGTCCTCGATATCTAGAGGGATAGGGAGATGCGTGTTCGTGACATTGTTTCCTGTCATGCAGTGCTTTGGATTGGATAAGTGCCGCCACCACCACCACCATCACCACCATAGACATTTCCATGAGTTTTCATGACCTCAATTGTGCGTTGGTGGAAATGTTTGAGGTTTTGCTGCATCTTTTTTTATTTGGTACGTCCTGGATCCTTGTGTAAATAAATATACATGTCAAGGAAAGATCAAGGGTTGGACAAAAGCTTACATGGGTGATTGCGCGTATTTGAGGTTTACTTTCGAGGCCTTGTCTCTGATGAGGAAGTGAATCACGATATTTTCCTTGTTATCCTGCAGAATACGAAGGTTTGGGGTCCTTGGGGAGAGAACACATTTAGATATATAGAAAGTTAGGGATTTGGCATATGTCAAAAGTCTACAAGAATCCAAATTCCATCAATTAGAAATTGTTGCAGTTAGGAATTTTGATTTGAATATGATTGATTTTGATTGTACATCTCATGATTCTTTAGCTTTTTCTCTGCAAATTGCAAAGCAAATTATCCAAGAATCATATAGTTCATTGAATTTAGACTCTAATTTTCCTGTCCATTTTCTTTTCTTTTTAATCATTATATACAACTTCTGTACATATATAATAATTTCAAGAAATTGCATGATATGATGAGTGATTTCTACTTCTGCGCTCTTCTTAATCTGGCCATTGAATTTCCTTTGATTTGTTCAAACTAATGGCTAAAACAAAGACGATAAATACTAATTGGAAGCAATAGAATAGCATTCCTTCATTTTTCTAAAAAGTCAATTTGATAGTTTTTATTCCTAAACAAGATAAATACTAATTGGAAGTATTTGTGCCTCAAACAATAATTTAAAAAGGTGGAGATAACAAGTCCTGAACAAAACAAAACCCAAAGTTAAAAATTAGCATTTTGAACGAAGTTCCTATGTCATAGGGAAAATATAAAAATTTGATAGACTAAATCTCCAGTGCATACCATGCTATGTTCCACAGAAAAACTTATTAATTGAACTAGCTCTTAGGCTATTTGCAACTCTTTCTCCAGAGAAAGGAAAAAAAAAAGACACGTTTTTCTAGCTATTGCAGTTCATCAAATGATATCTCAATTTCTTTATATCTGACTGTTTCAGTGGCTTTAGCATGAACATTTGAGCTCCTTCCTCTAAGCACCTGTTGTTAATTAGAAATTAAAACCATAAATAAAACAAAACAAAAAAAAAAAATAAAGGAAAGAAAAATAATCAGTTCATATTTACTTGTCAATCCGATTCGGTACGTTTTCAGATGACATAATCACCACTGGAACCTCCTTCATGATTGATGATTCCTGCTTGCAAAAGGGTAATTAAGAAAATAAAGCACGATTATATATTAAACCATATTAATTACATGCTAAAAATTTAACAAAAAATCTGCAATACCTTGATTTTCTTGAGAAGTTCATAGCCTGTCATTCCGGGCATACAATAGTCAGTAATTACCAGATTTACCTTTGAGTTTGAAACCTGCAAGTAAGAACAAGACCCTTCTCCCTTCTCAGTGTAAAGCTTAAATATTGAATTAATACGATGGATTAATGGTAATTAGCTACTCACATTACTCTCCAAGCTATTGTGTTGTTGATCTCCTAAGCCCAGAAACTCCAACGCCCTTGCCCCATTTTCTGCAGTTGTCACTGCACCAAATAGAAGAAAATCATTAGCTTTTTTATTTACCAAGCAAAAATACACTCTGTTTTTAATATACTTTATTTCCATTAAACAGCTTAATATTAATTTAATTCACCATTATAAAGTCTTCTTAATCTTTCTATTAAGCAATAAATAAACCATTAAAATGTACAATATAGCGTTTCTTCCGGGAGGTGATTCCTACACTTATACTTTCTCCTCGTGCACGGAGAAAACAAGAGTGTAAAAATCACTACCATTTATTTTCAAGTAAATTAGCATGAGAATATAGAGCAAACTATAAAAAGAAAGAAGAAAATGGAGGGTTGTGCAGGATTCAAGCAGAGAGATTGTTACCTTTGCAAGACAAATTTGTGAGTAGCTTTTCGATCAGTTTTCGGTCGATGAGACTGTCATCGACGGCTAAAACATGGGGTTGCTCCACATTTGCCATGAAACCCTTTGAGGAGGAGGAGGAAGAAGAAGAAGCCTCCATATTTCTTAAACCCTAGAAATAATAACTCCTCTCACTCTCTCACCCACCAACTTACAAAAATAATAGCCAAAAGAAAGCAAAGACGTAACTGCAGAATGAGAGAGAGAGAGAGAGAGACTTATAACAAACGCAGTTGCTGTAGCCTGTAACCGTGTAACAGACACGATTTAATTACATAAGACCAAAAACGAAACGACTTGTCTGAATCTGACAGTAACAATTAAGCATATGGGGATTCAAATTCGTGCATTAAAACTTAAACAAACAAACTCATGGGAAATGTTTGAACAACACGTAATGTGGATTCTGGAAGGTGGGATTTTTGTATTTATAGAGATTTGAGAGAGAGAACTGAATCGAATCAAATCAAAGGTAGAAACCCAAAGAAGATCACGAAATATCTGTGACTTGGTATATTTTATTATCTTCTCTATCTCTATGATTTTCTCTCTCTGTGTGCAGAGAAAATTAGTCGGTATCAGAATTCAGCAATCTGCATGGATACAGCTGCTAAATTATGCCATTTGATTCATTTTATAGCAGGTTTTTACTGCTGCTGGCTGCTGATACAACAATAACCATGACCTCATTATTACCCCTTTTGGACCTTGCGACATAAATTCAAACCCCCAACAATTTTAAAATCCATAATTTTCGAGCATTCTTCTAATGTTACGTAGAACTCAATGTTTTTTACTGTTATATTTAATAACTATTACTAGTATATTTTCTACTTCTAATTTCAACCGCTCATTTTCTATATCACTCAATTATATTCTACATTATGAAAAAGTGCACCCCATCTTTTGTATTTGTAAATCTTGATTTTCAAGTTTTTTTTTTTCAGGATAATTTTCTAAATGCTAGTTCTATTTAGGAAGAAACATCAACTAGTGCTCTATGAAAACTTCGATTAATGGTTAAGGACAAGAGTGCCAAAGTGAATTTTGATTTTAATATTTCTTAAGTATATATCTACAAACATTTGACACAACACATATTTAATCGTTGAATTTGATTTAATAACTTGATTTAAGTAACAGAGGATTGCTCGATTAAATAGTGATAAAGTTTAGTCTTTAGTGCATATAGATACTCAAGAAGAATTGAGGAGACTTACGTTAATGTAGTCGATTTTGGACTCAAATTTGAATTTCCTTTCATAGTTTTGAAAAGGATGGATTGGATTGAAAAACAGCAAAATTGGTGGTTGCTTGAGTAAATCTGGTCAAAAGGATGGAGGGGGTGGAGTTACTACACCATATCACCATACGTCAAAAAGATCCGAATCCCATCTGTCTTGGTGCAGAATCCATGCATATCCGACACATACATATTACATATTACGTACGTAAATACACAGAACCTTTGTCATGTCTTTCCTTCTACTCAATACTCCAAACAACAGACAATTTGCACGGACCAAATAGTGAGTCTTTCAGTAACAATTACGCTCTGGTCTTAGATTCGAATAGAAGTGAGAGGTCTTAGATTCGAATCTTATGGATGACGAATTCAATACCAAATTAGACTGCTTATTGTGTGGCTTAACCGATCTCCCTCTCCCTTTAATGTAAAAAAATCGATGTACTAAAAAAAAAAAAAAACTATGTTTTGCTCGTCCCAAACTCACAGAAACACTATCTGAATCGTGAGCTTAAATATCCTTATTTCAACCGTAAGAAGGAAAAAAAAAAAAAAAGGCAATTACATAAAACGAGTTTGTTGTCTCTGTTTCTAGACATTAATTCATTTCAAGAAAGTATATCTTGGATGAAACATGTGGTTAACAAGTTAACAACGTAGTACATGTTCCGTTACTTATTTTAAAATATTACTAGCTGGTGCCTGCGGACTAGGGTCAAGAGCTGCGAAAATTTTTAGGTGTACCGGGTACACCAAATTTTTTTGGTGTACCCTCACTCATTAGAATTTTTTTGGTGTACAAAAAGTGAGGGTGCACCAAATTTTTTTGGTGCACCCTCACCATTATGAGTGAGGGTACACCAAATTTTTTTGGTGTGCCGGGTACACCGAAAAATCCCTCCAAGAGCTGAACCTTCAAATTTCAATGCGTGCTTTGTTCTGTAAATTGCAATTTAGAAAGCATACAGTACAATTTCAACAACAGATTACAGACAAAGACTGGTAAATCTATCTCGGATAACGACTTCTTGGTAACTGACGTTGACTTGTCCTTGCCGTTTGGTCCACTTGTTATGGCTTTGCCTAGCTTTTAAGGAAAAATGTGAGTTATATCAATCTCGTCGTGAGTAGTGGGAGAGTTTTTGGTATACTGAAATAGAAAATAATGCATCGCATGTCATAATATAAAATATACTTTAAAATAAGACATACAATGCGTTGCAGTATGCATTAAATTTCTCGTGATTGGTTCCCTCTTATCCTAATGAGGGTAAAACTTGACTCTGCTCGTGTGTACTTTTGTTTCACAAAACGGGTCTCTCCTCGCACATACAATTATGTACAAGTGACCTAAAAACGGGTGTAGACAGGTTTTTCTCGTAATCCTCTTAGCCTAATTTGAAATGGCACATCGGCACTTCATCTCCGGGTTCAAATTGATCGTGTGAAACCATTTGATATAACAGTATAAGCGACATGAAAGCAATTTTCTTTACCGAAAACGAAACATGAACCTGTAATTCCATAACATCTTCACATCTGATAAGTAGAACTAAATGGAGAGCGAGAACTTCCTTGAATAAGGAGAGTTACATTGGTTGTAAGGGCAAGTTATGATCATTTGATGGTTGCCTTGGGGATGGATGATGTACAAGGCCCAGCCGAGGTCATAAATGGAATACCCTTGAAGGTAGCCACGCCCTTATCGTCAGTGAAAAGATGCTGCAACGATGAAACACACATGAGATTCATATGCCCAATTTTAACTTTGAAGCATCATAAATGCAATGTGTAGAGATACTTAATGCAAAATTGATGAGAGGGGAGATTATGACTATTCTGACCAAATTGCCACAACTGTAATAACTGTCAATGCCTCCATAAAATTGCCACAACTGTAATAACTAGTCTAATTAAGTTGTGAACAGTCTAATTAAATTAGGCAGCACATCTATGGTTGTCCCCTAATCACACTAAGAAGATCCACAAAACGAGAGCAACGAATACATACAGGAGTGATCTTGTCCAGCTGTTTCTTTTTTGGGTTCAGAACATCTTCTGGCTTTCCATCAATCCTGAATAGAAAGAAGTGCACGTCAAGAGAAGTTACCAATGAAAGAAAATGTCTGTTTAAGCTCCAAGTAGTTTCAGCTAACTCACCCACAAAATGACACACGTTCCCCCGGTTTAGCCCCTTGTGGAGGGAGCAAAGGCTCTACAAGGGTGTGATCTTCGTTAGAAGCACATAGCACCTGAATACATGCATACAAATGAAATCCATACCTTTATATGTGTTTAGTAGAAGCTAAGTTTAGAAACATTCAGCTTTCACTAATAAAGGACTCTTCATAAGCCAATTTGGGATCTTATACTAGAGAATAGTAGGTGGGATTATAAATATTGCCTATGACCGATTGGAGTGAAAACTTGAATACTTTGAGTATAGATTTGATAATGAAGACATGATTTTGATTACTAGTTAAGCAGTGCAGGAGTAAACAACATCCCGTTTCCAACTCATAAAACTACCTCAGCAGCAAAAAATATAAGTTAAATGAGAAGAGACACGTACCAGTCCTTGTGACATCACATCCCGTAACTTCCCAGGTTTCACATTCGTAATCAGCACAACATGACGGTTCTGCATAGTGCATGCACCGAGTGGATACATCAGAAATTAAGTGTGACACTCATCTGTCTAAACTATGAAAATAAAATGAACAGAAAATATGCAAAAGATTATGTAAAAAACTGTCTAGTTCCAAAAGATCAAGTAGTAACCATACTGTCAACTCCTCTGGACTGATATATTTTGCCAAGCCGCTAACCACTTGCCGTAATTTAGCTTCTCCGACATCTATCTCCTCAACCAGTAAACTGTATCAAGTTTTAAAACATGGGTTATGACTGATTTTGCATCCTCCAGATATGCAATAGCATTCAGAGTCCAAACTTCAAGGTAAGACAGCCAGCAGTTTAATTAGCTTTTTAATGAATTAATGGGGCACCTAGACAAAAAGAAAGAGAAAAAATGTAGCCCACACACCTATCAGCAGACGGATGCTTCCAAGCTTTGTGCACGAGGCCAACCTGTATATTCAATAAACTGACACTTACTTCTTTGTCTTTCTCAACTGCCTCTGTTTCTGGCGATTTTTTCTTCTCTTCAGTAGCTTTCTTATCTGCTTTTTTATCTGCTTTCTTATCTGAAATAATTTTCTCATCTCCTGCTGCCTTTACCTAAAAATTCCAATAAAAAGGTCATCAAAGAACAGTATACCAAGGAAATCTGAAAGTAGAAGCATTGGTTCGGACTGTAATAGTTTACCATGTTTTTGTACCACATTTTCATACCACCTTAGGTGGCATTTGATGTGGACAGCCACTTCATATGAATTAATCGGATTTTTAAATTTAGTTCATTATTTAATAAAACAATAATTAAGAAAAACTAGTTAATTAAATGATGATTGTGGTATACAAGGAGTCTTTCTCCTTCCTTTCCTTGGGTTTTGCAAATTTTTCAAATGATGTGGCTGTCCACATCAGATGCCACCTAAGGTGGTATAGAAATGTGGTATAAAAACATGGTATGAATAGCATTACTCCAGAAACCCAACCATCTATATTTGAAATAGAGAGATCAGATATAATGTTGGTCAACTAACTGATGAAGGGCAAAATGGTTCTTCCCAGTTATATTTGAAAGGAACGGTATGGAAATTTCTATCTAGAAAGTTTAATTATACAACTAAAGTAGTTTTGTACAGATATCTCACATAGTAGTATGGGTATTGTTTGTAATAAAAGTTAAAGAACTTAGGTGGTGGATACCCATAATTATACATCTAGCT